GCCACCAACCTCGCCTGCAAGGACCCCGCACTCGAGGTGCTCGCCAGCTTGCCTTGAGCTCTCCTGTCTTGGATCAACCTCGCCTGCATCCCACTCGCTCGCCTGTGGAAGTTCTCGACCTTGCCTGCTCGAACTTGATGACCTCACCTGCAGCTCATCGACACCTGACCTGGATCTCAACCTCGAATTCACTTAAAGATTTCGTCGACCTTGCCTGACGCTCGTCGACATCGCCTGAAGTGGAGCTCGCCCGCCACGAGCTCGTTTGAGCTTCATCCTCGCCTGGAGAAACTCGCCTGGAGGTGAGTTTGGGCTTCACACTCAGATCCAACAAGTTTTTCGGTAATTTTAAGTATTATCTTGGTCTATCACGATCCTGGAGACCGGAGGATATCCAATATCAATAATGACCAACAGAAAGGAGTGGGCTTGTATATGCTAGTTCTGATTCATCGGTAAGGGTAGGATTCGTAACGGTGCAATGAAAATCATCTATAATTCAGTCAGACTTGTAGAATTTTGGATGCACGTGGTAAAAAAGTGTAATTTTTTTTTGCTTTTCATGTAGACCTCTCGGTGTCAAGTTTCCACCAGGCGCTGTTTTTCCCTTTAAAAAGAAAACCTCAACAATTTAAACTTTTTAGTATAAGATGATTATTGGAGATATAATGAAGAGGTGCAAACAGTTTCTAGAGTAATAATGAAAGCAAAGCCATGGAGTTAGAGGGATGCACCATTATCATGAGAAAAGGCAAAGCATGACAAAGGAGGAAGGGATGGAAGGCAAAGGTTTGGCAACTTGATTAGTTGTAATCCAAGTCCAAAAAAGTCAATCTCTTTAATACTACCTCACATGCAAATATGCTCTGCTTGCTCCATAGCTTCATCAATACCTACTGCCCTACCAGAGAAATAAAGGGGCAGCTGAGGAGACAATATAGGCCATTTCCTTCACTTTCAGTACAATCTTTGTTTCATAGGTTTGATTCTGAAATGAACAATTTGGATACGACTTTGGGACTGTATGCAACTCTTAAATGCAGTGAAATTGATTGGCTAGATTATTCAACAATCGTATTTCTGCAGTTGGTTGGGATTGCTAATATCAGAGAATTACAAATTCTCAGTCTAGTCTTGCTGGCACCAACGATTTGTGGGGACATGAAGCAATTAATTTAAAGTTAACAGATGAAATTCATTCGGCAATTAGTTACAGGATCATTGTATTAATCCTAAAAATCTCATATGTTGTACTGATTTAAGAATAGACAGTTTTAGTGATATCAATTAACATGTTAATAGCCGAATAATTTCTCAATCACATAAGCTAATGTCTCTTCATTTTAAGTGAAAGGAACTTGAAAATTGTAGCATCTTGTTTTCTAAGAGAAGTCTGGAGATACTGTTACTCATTCTTTTCTATCACAAGTCTGAGGACATTGCTTCAATTTGATATATTAGTTTATTGTTCCTAAATCATGTTTAGCTGTGTTTTATGTATATTCATAAAAATGAGAAAAGCTAAGAGAGGAAAAATTTTCAGTGATATCCTACCAAATACCAATTCCATGGTAACAAACACGTCCACACTTCCTTGCCTCTCATCGACATAAATGAGAACATACCTGCAGGAAATTTGGAATCTAAATGGTCAATAATGTAGATTCCACTTTGTATACAATATGATAGGTCCCAAGTAGTTAAAAAAAACACTGAAGAGAAAATCCAGGCTACTTGAATGGAATATATCCAAGAATCTAATTCCGACCCAATGCTGATCAGCATCTTGTGCCCTTCTTGCAGCTGAGTGCACCTGCAGACGTAGTGATGGAGCCTACAATAGAGGAGGGCCTGGCACTCAAACTCGAGGCTCTAGCATAGCTTGATGATGCTCCATAGCCAGATGGTGTAAAGAATGCACCATTAAGCATCAGATCACCTTCGGACCTCCAGTTCCAGCTCTTCCACTGGCTGTCTGGTGTATCCTCACGCTTTGTCACCTACACTTGAAGAATATAATCAGTATCATAGTTACACAATACGTCGTATGTAGAGGGTCACAATACGAATTCGGGTACACAATTCACAATTTAGAAAATTTGGATTTATTAAGGGCTAGCTTGCTTCGGTACGCAAGTTTGGTTAGTGGTACGTTGTAAATTTTATGGGCGCGCTTTGGTTTTCCACAGCATATAGTAAAAACTAGAACGGTAATTATGAAATTTAATATTTTTTTCATATAAATACTTAAATACTTCTTTTTGATGGAGTTTTTCTTTCTTTGTTCTGTTTTGTTTATAGAGCTTGTTTTGGGATCATGGTTTCATTTTACATTTAATTAACATACGTGTTTAGCTACAGTAAAGTCATCGGTTCATATATACTCTATTGTGTGTCTCCATTCACTTAATTGCACACATTGACTTGCGTCTTGCGCACGTACACTCATAAAGACTTGCATCTAGCATACTTGAAAGTGATACGCCAATTTTGGGGAACCGGTTCGTGTATCGGAGGGAATCGGTTCATAAATGTACTGGGAATCGGTTTGCAGGAACTGTACGACGGTTTGAGGGAGGTCCAGGGAATCGGGCAACGATGATCAGTATGCCTTAATTCTCATCGTAACTTTAAATAAGAAGCAACATAAGATGAAATTCATTTGACATGTATTTTATAAAAAGATACTTAAAACTCCGAGAGAATGCTAGAAATTGTTACTCTCACTTACAGATGTTTGATGCATGCACAGTGAAGGAGAGCTAAAAACAATTAATTGATTGGAGATTTTTTTTGGATGAAACTGCAAGGTGCTAAAGTAACTCTAGGCTTTTCTCCTTAATGACAATGAGGTGGTTTTGTTCTTATAAATGAGCATGGCAATTAGTCTATGTTATTCTGCACTTGAAACTTGAATGTGCATTGCGCATTGTTGGAGTTATTAATGTGAGCAGGAGTACAAGGACACAAATGGGAGACCAAGTACCTTGGGTAGCCGACGACGCATCAACAACTTGGAATTATGTCCTTAGAATCAAAGGTTAAAAGCCCATGTACCAGCCCTGTACTACTGCTGTTTCGAACTTACCGTCCGTGTAATTTTTCTTTTGCGTATGGAACCCTGTAGTTAGATTTTTTTTTTTTTACTCTTTTATCCAGGGTGAAATTTCGACAGATATTGCCCCCGGACCAAAACTAGCGAGTCTATACCTGAGGTAAAAGTGTTAGAAACAGTGACGCTACGGGTCTATGTGCAATTAATCCTTGAATCAAAGTCTATTCACTTAACCACTTCATGGTGTATATCGTGATGAAATAAGAGCAGTAGTAGTCTAAATCAGAGGTCAAAGGATCTAATGACAAACTTGTACTCTATCAAACTAATAAAGAGTTTTTACCTCTTTGGCAAAGCGATCATCCGGAGCCAAGAATCTATTGCCTTGGCTGTTTATGGTGGGCGCCGCGCTCCCCCCAATCGCATACATTTCCCAGTGAGTGTAGTCATTGTTCACCACATGGAAATATCCATGCCGACACCTACCCATCAAATTTAACTAATTTCACTCAAAATCCAAACAAAACATGAGACAAAAAACTTCATCGAGTGATGCTTAATTATTTGATTGTTAGTACATCAGAACTGTTTATCCTTGTATCGGTGTGGAATTCACTGGATAGGAATATATTGGACTCAGTTAGTCATACCTTGGCATTCTCTGAATGAGCCCCTCCCCAAAATGGTTGAACGCAATAGTCACCTGCATATTCTTATCAGCCATCAGCTCATCACTATGCCCCAAAAGCATCACCTTATCGTGATGTGTCAAATAGTTATTCGATATCGTGATCGCCGTCGACCCCTGTATCGCATCTATGAGCCCGTCGTGACAGCTGGACAGGGTGCAGTGATCCACCCACACATGACTTCCCCCAAATATTGACACCCCGTCACCATCCGACACTGTCCTCCACCCGTAATGCCCGGGCGAGTCCCGGACATACGCATTCCCCCCTTGCTTACAATCATGAATGTGCAACCCATGTATTATAATGTTGGTTACATATTGTATCGTTATGCACGCTCCATTAGCGATGTGCACGCTAGCCCCTCGGCCGTCTAGAGTTTTGTAGGAGTTCATTATGAGCTCTTCCTTGAGCTTGATGGTCATGTCGCGAGCAAAGATGATCCAGAGGGGCTCATCCTGGATGACAGCGTGGCGGATAGTGCCTGGTTTGGGGTTGACAGGGTCATCATCATCGCTGTTGGTCACGACGTAGATTTTCCCCTCCTTGCCACCGATGGCGTTCTTGCCGAACCCAATGGCACAGTCGGCGAGGCGTTGGCGATTGCTCTCCCAGTGCGGGTCGCAGCGCCAACAGTCGTCGATGGGGTTGCCGGTGCCACAGGAGAGGTAGCTTAATTGCCTCCTGGATGCATTGGTACTTCTGGAATTTTGGTAACATAAGACATACATCAGGCGCATTGATAAATACAATGTACATGTATAAAACTTTATAACGCAGATTTTCTAAGAAAAATATTTTGATAGATAACATCCACGTCAGCAACACAGTAGTCAACACCATATTTACTCACCTTGAGTAAAATGTGAGACATAATTACAAGTACCAAGTGCATATTGCTAGATATGATCTCAATACAATGTACAAGAACTACAATCTGGAAAGTAGTAAATTTTACCGAAGTACTTCTTCTACTACCAATTCTGGGTCAGGGACTGGAAGTGATGAGCAAATGGAGAACAATGCAATGAAGAAGAGAGAGAGGAAAAGATGAGAACTAGTTAATGCTTGAGATGCCATTCTCTAGTGTGTGCAATGCAGATGAATTGATAAAGGGAAGGGATTTATAGACTCAAAATTTGGGGGTGGGGGGGGGGGGGGGGGGGCAGGGGGGCATTATCAAGGGGGGCCCTTTTGCGAGTGAAATTTGTGGTATGTTGTTCATCCTTTTCATGGGCTAATTGGCTGAGACCGTTACTAGGGCAGGACTCCTCTCTTTTGTTGGCTGGCATGATTTTGATGGGGGATGAGACGGCTGTTGACGCTGTAGGTGAACTGTTTTAAAATACGAGGTATCGGTGGCCCTGTAAAAAAAATTTGACAGAAAAGATTGCTCAGTTTCTTTGATTGTTGAAGTTAGTACGGCTAAACTAAAGATTGTTCGACTTCGTAGTCAGGTGTCGTGATAAACTTTGGGCAATGAGCTTCTAGTTTTTTCATCGTGATTTGAGTTACTTGTTGTGCGCAGCGGAAATTTCGGCAGCACCTCCGGTGCGCAAGGTGCACAACAAGAGATTAGATCACAATGAAATTCTTGCTTCTCAAAGGAAACAAGAACCAAAAGCCAGATATCTCATCAAAGTGAGATATCAGCTCTTCCTCTCGTCAGCTCTAGGACTGCGCGTCGAGGGATCCTACAAGCTATTACAAATCACGACAAGAACACAACTTTTACGTGGTTCGGCAAATAGCCTACGTCCACGGGGCAAGGAGGGGAAGGAGAGATACAACTGGGGTTTACAATCTCACAATCTAAACCCTCACAAACTCTCAGATCCCTCACACAAAATCTCTCTCAAAAAAGGATACCAAAAACCCTAAAAACGGCTACACAAAACCCTAGAAAAACACAGCTTTTCTTCTGCCTGCGCGCTGCCAAAAGAGAGACGAAGCCGCTGCCAAAAGATGAACAAATCAGCCGCCAATCAAAACTCCCTTGCACCCTCAACTTGCACGCCCAACGAAGAGAGCCGCTGCTCTTTCTTTTCTCCTGCAGCCGAAACAAAAGAACCCCTCAACTTCGCACACGCCTCCAATCTCTTTGCTTTCCTTCGTTGGCGGCTATGAAGAAACTCCTCCTGCACTTCCAACTTCACGAAACCCTAGGCTATTAAATAGCACTGTTCGTGGGCCGCTTCACATGTTCCCGAACGAAAACCCGAATAAAAAATCCAAGCGGACTCAAGTGGGTGTGGACCCCACAAGCCGCACTTTCTCTTCATGTGCGCAACTTTTCACGTGAATTCATTCACATGAGTTCACATTACTAATATCGTCTGTATGAATGGTATTTAAATTGACAGTTCACACGATTGAATTATGTGAAAGGCAGAGTAATAACTCATAAATGAACTAAAATTCAAAATTGTTAATTTTGATCCTTTTCTCTAAAATACAAACTTATGTATAAAAATTATAGCCCTAGACTTTCATCAAAGTTAGTAGCTAATTAAAGGGAGATATGCAACAACAAACCGGGTATTTACTATCGTATGGAATTGGACCATGAACAGAACTTCTGTCTGTACCTGTACTATAATATCAGATTAGGAAGGAAAATCGGAATTAGAAATTGATATAAGAACAAGAACATGGACACGTGTAAGTAGGAAACAAAATATCTATTCCAGTTCTATATCACCAATCAAAATTCAGCTTTGATGCACCGAAAAGAGAAGCTCCGAACTATAACCAAAATCTGATTCACCCACAAATGATACAGATCATGTTCATATGGGTAGTCATGATCAAGCCATTAGTTACCCACCATCAATAGAATGCTCCAATCTCTTTGTCTGGTAAAGAATGTATTGCCAAAACTGTATGAATTCCTCAAATATACCTAGTATTTTTGAGCTATTATCATCTGAGGCATCACATGGAAATTCATTTCTCTCTCTGAAATGTCCATCAACACGAGGACATGGTTGAGCATTAGGATCACTACTGTAAGCAAGCTAACACTTGAATAGTGCTCACATGGGCCTTGTCAGATTTGTTTGAAAAATCCCAAGATGGTAGCTTGCATTCAATGTCACCTGCATTTCTTTTCCTCATCTAAATCCTCTGTCATCTATCTTAGTGCGCTTGATGAGTATAGTCGGTATGAGATTTAATTTTAGGGTCCCATTGATGATATATACATGAACCAATTTGGGGTTTGTACTAATTTTAGCTATGAATTTGAGCCTGCATTGCTTTCAATTATTTGAATTGTAGATAGCGATGTTAAGAGAACCCATTAAAGAAGGGAATGGGTTAGGTCTCCTTGACTATTAATGGCTGGTGGTAAATGTTGGGATTGTATTTTTGATGCTTTGTAGAACTTCATGAGAATTAGATAGGGTTAGAGATCTATCATGATTAGGAGATTGGATTTCATCATTGTTTGCGGTGAAAATTGATTGTTTCATTGCGAGATTCATTACAAACTTCAGACGTTTACAACGAATATAAAAATCAGTCTTTTTATAAGACTTTTACACAATGAAAACAAAAAAATTACAATTCTCTTCAAACAAACGCAAATAGTGTTTATCGCCCGCTGCTTGCATGGGATCTTGGCCTGTGACGGGGACGCGTTAGTCCGTGGACCACCGAACGATCAATATTTGGACAGAGTTTCGTCTATCCGCGAAGGGATCGAGAAACCATAGCTCTTATCTTGGCGAAGCGAGATAATCACTCTTCTTAAGATTACCGCAACGGGATAATCCTAAGGAACGAACAGGGCTGCAGATCTAACTCCTCCTCCTCTTTGAAATCTGTGCACTTTAAGTCTTCAATCCGGCAGGGCTTCGCCGAGGCACGAGAATTCCAGATCCGAAAAAATAAGGCTCTGAGGCTTGTATTTATAGGCTTCAAGGAGATCCGGGCGGTTAAAACCACAAAACAACCAAATCTGACTTTTTTAGGGCTGGAGACACCCTTGGGTGTTTCAACTTGGGCCGAGACACCCTAGGGTGTCTCGGCTCAAACCGAGACACCCTTGGGTGTCTCGGCTTGAGCCGAGACACCCTTGGATGTCTCAGCCTTGGCCGAGACACCTTGGGGTGTCTCAACTCAGGCTGAGACGTTCCGTTTTGCATATTCGTCCGTTTCCGCCGTAACTTCTTCATCCGAACTCGGATTTGAGCGATTCAAAGTGCGTTGAAAAGCCGACGAGGAGTTCTATAAGCTCCAATGATTAGATCATCTGTAGAATAAATGAGACAAGAAGGGTATTTCACCTTTTGTAAGCGACACGGGGCTCCCGATCAATTCGTATCCTCGTTATTCTGAAACTCCGTTGCTTCACGTAGTTCATCGATCGACGTTAATCGAGCTTCTGTGACTTGGATAGTGACGTTCCTCATCTCCTCTTAGCATTGAGCTGCTCACGGAGACCTATAGGTAATTTTCGATGCCTACAGATACCCCCTCCAAAGCGTTCCAGACTCGTTTCTTTTATAGAAGAGGCTGGAATACTTTGGATGTGATTGGTCCAGCCTTCGATTGGTGTAAAGGACCTTTAATTAGCTTCAACTCTTGGCTCCTTCGATTTTCAGTCTATTCGATGCTTTGATGAATAGCCGAAGTCCTTCCGGCGCCGCGTTTATCGCCTGGCCGTTGTCGGAGTCTCGAGTCTACAACCAGTGAGTTAGGTTTGGCTCGTGTCACTGAATTGACTTAGAACTGACTATTTTTGTCACATTGACTTTTTCATTGCAACGTCTTGATTGACGTTGACCTAGGGTTACGCGTTGACCTTAGGGTTTAATTGTTGCACGTTGACTTTTGGTTGCAACGCGTTGACTGGCGTTGACCTAGGGTCACACGTTGACCGGTGTTGACCTTAGGGTTTAAATCGCCATGCGTTGACTTTTTCATCGCAACGCGCTGACTGACTTTGACCTAGGGTCACGCGTTGACCGGCGTTGACCTAGTGTTTCGGATCGATCGCCGTTAACACAGTTTATACTCGTACGTCTGCTGGAGTATACACAGTTTAAACTCTTAAGATATTAGAGCATGACGGTCCTAACAGTTGGGGCTGCAGGACCAACTGTTAAAGCTGATTCGTCTGTAGATATGGATCTTATCCTGAAGTTGTTAGATGCTCAAGTCACGAGACCAACTAATGAAGATGATACGTCAATGACTTGCATTTATAGAATTTTTGGCAAATTCTCAGCCATCAACGGGTTTGATTAGCCTTTACCGACTACCGTTTGAGTCGGGCTAGCATGCAGATTGTTTTAAGTCCGTTCCGCATGTAACGTTAAGCTAAAAGAGTTAACCCTTTTAGTGCTATAATATTGAATACGTAGACTTCGTCTTTCTCCTGTGAAAAGACTAAACAACGACGTGTATCAGACGTAGACTTAGGATTTTTGGCAAATCCTCAGCCATCAACGGATTTGATATGCCTTTACCGACTACCGTTTGAGTCGGGCTAGCAAGCGGATTGTTGAAATCCGTTTGGAATGTGACGTTGTGCTAAAGGAATGAACTCCCTTAGACTTGATGCTACGACTTTGAATATGTAGACTTCGCCATTGTTACGGGAATAGGCTACCCGACAACGCGTGTTAGGCGCTGACTTATCCTTACTTAGGATTCAGGATAAAAGTCCCCAGACTCGGATTCTGGTGTCTTCTTCAATCGGTAAAAGACTAAACCGGCAACGCGTATTAGGCGTTGGCTTATCCCTGCTTAGGCTTCGGGATAAAATTCCCCGTGCGTGTGAAGCATGGATTTTAGCGTTATTAATAACAACCTGCCACAATGTTGAATATGTGGGCTTTTGTCCTTTTTATGGTTAAGGACTAACCGGCAACGCGTATTAGGCGTTGACTTATCCCTTCTTAGGATTCGGGATAAAATTCCCCGCGCGTGTAAGGCGCGGATTTTGGCGTTATGAATAAAACCTACCACAATATTGAATATGTGGGCTTTTATCCTTTTTACAGTTAAGGACTAACCGGCAACGCGTGTTAGGCGCTGACTTATCTCTACTTAGGCTTCGGGATAAACTTACCCGTGC